TAAACATTTAGTGTTTATCATGTATCAGATACACCTCTAGGGTCTTTATTTTGGTTAATAAAACAAATATTTTTTGAGTCAGCATTCCAACAGAGTTAGAGGAAGGAGATAAACTATGTCTGACTAGTATATAAATTATATAGCTTTAAGAAGATAATAAGTATGCCAGGTGTGGTGCCTTTAGTCCCAGCACTCAGGAGACAGAGGCAGGCAGATCTCTGTGAGTTCACAGCCAGCCTGGTCTACATAGACCTATCCAGGACAGCTGGGGCTACAGGAAGACCCTGTCTCGAAAAGACCAAAAAAAAAAAAAAAAAAATCCTACAAAACTAAATAACAGGCAAAAGGTAGCACATCTGTTGAGAAAAGGAAGTTTCTGGTGAGATGGAGCAGGCAGGTGGGTGATGGCCCCACAGTTCAGAATTTTAAAGCCAAGGTATACTATGAGTTCTGCCTACATTTTACAGATTGGATCTCCAAACCAGCCAAGTAGGACACTGGTGTTGTGGGGAGATGTCAACATTAACTCCTCAGGATTCAAACTTACCCAAGCTCCCTGACACCCCACAAGTACTCTTAGAGCTCCTGTTCCTGAAGGAGCCTCCTTAGCCTGAGTGAGGTCAACAGTCAAATGTAGGCCCCAGAGTTCTACAGCCCAGAGCAGGCTACCAGTCTCAACTTTTAAAACTGCAAAGCTAATTCTCAGGCCAGAACCCTCACCAAGGATGGGCAGGAAGGACAGCACACCCAAGTGTGTTAGGGACTTGCCCCATCCATATCTTTACCCAATTTGAATTTGCTGGTCCTCCCTCCCCCAACTCTGCCAGGCTCACCTTCCCACAAGGCTGACAGCCCTCCAGGACATGGATCATACCTAGCCCACCTTCACATTCCCAGTTTGCTGAGTGACTAAACTCCAAAGAGTCTGGGCAGGGGACTAGAAGACTTGGAACATGTACAAGGGCTCATGGGCAAGCCTCGAGGTGTCAGACAGCAGAGCTAGGTGAGACCTGGGCAGGAAGCCTGTCTGCACTGAGCCTGGAAAGCCATCAGCTGTGACCACTGGACCCCAAAGCCACAGGTCCTCATTACAGCAAACAGACCCAGGGCAGGGCCTCAGGCTCCTCATCTGCTAGTAGGCAAGTGGGTTTGGTTGTGTACTGACACTGTGGGTACCCAGAATATGACATACACTGGTTATAAATACCAAAGATGCATAGGAGCTGGTTGAGGACAGGCCTATTAGCAGGTATTCCTGGAGAACTCAGTCTCCCTCCCTCTTAGCCCCCCACTCCACAGGATGGGCCTAGCATCCTTGTTTTACTTGAAGTTGATCTCCATGCTGCTGTTGGCAATGACAGCATTTATTAAGCTCCTGTGGCATGAATAAATAGGTTAGATGGCCCGTGTGTCTCACGGGCCTCTCATGAGTATCCTTATGGGAAGCAGAGGCCCTACTTCCTTACAAATGAAAACTAAGGTCAGCCCTCATACCCAATGATCAGGATGGCATTCAGAATCTGGCCATCTATTCCTGGAACCGTCTTTGGGCCACTAAACTCCCTGCCCATCTTCCTACCTGGGTTCTAGCTCTGCAGGAGGTAAGGCTTATTCTTTAAAGTTCTGGGTATCTCTGTCACACATTTCAAACTATGCCAGGCCCAAGTACCTCAAGTCCTAGCAACTCCAGAGCCAAACCTCCCAGGCACTGTCATGCAGAACAACATTCCAGCCCCTTGGGTGGGCTGGGAGGCAGCCTCAGAGCTCTCTCCCCTCAGAAGGCCCCATCATCCTCCCTGAGACATGTTTCCCAGGTGCTCCTTCTGACTTTGAACCCCTAAAGTGCTTGGAGTGGGGATTGTGAAGCTCCCCCTGAATCTCTGCGTAAGGAGGTTCCACTCTGTTAGGAGGGGCACTCAGGATGGGCCCTGCTCAGTATCATGTAAAGCCTTGGGGTTACTTTAGGGCCTATGGGAGGAGATCCTGAGACCCTCAGAAATGAGAGGAAAATAATCAAACCTAGGGTCTTCTAGAAGCTTCAGAGTTCAAGAAGCAGGCATCTAGAGCAGGGAGAACTCAGAAAACCTGGGCTCCAGGGGAAGGCAGGTGGCATCTATCTATTGGCCAGGCTGGAGTTGAAGCCTGAGGAACAGCAGCAGAAAGAGGATGGGGAAGGACAGGAAAGAATGGAGTCCCTAGAGCTAGATCAGCACTGGCCACTGGGGTTGTCATGTGACCCCATCTCCCTTCCACCTTCTGCCTAGAGATGATAGGCAGTAGTAGTAGAGAGAATGACCAGAGGTCCCCACATGGATCTCTGCCATTGTGGCCACCCAGCAAGGTGTGGGAACCTTTAGGGACACAAAGCTGTGCACACATAGGACAGCATCTTGAACACGAAGAACACAGCCCAGCAGGCAGTTCCCCAGTAAAGAAGAGAACTTGAATCCCAGCTGTTCAGAGTCACAGGCCACTGACCAATTAGCAGTCAGTAGCTCTTAGCCTTAGGACCTCAGTGAAGCTGTTCATGGGGCTGTGTTCAGGGCTCTGGCATTCTCCCTCGTTTGGCCTCCTTTCTCCAGCCTCTGCTTCCGCCTAACTCAGGCTCAATGCCTGTCACTTAAGCCCCATCCCTCTCCAAGGGGCTTCGTTCTTCCAGCATCCTGAGAAAGCAATTGTCCCAGTGCAAAGCCCGAATGATGCTACAGCGTGTAGTGGGCCCCAGGGATTTGGAGGAGGAGGTCCAGCCTCCTTAGCTTGGCATTCAGTGTTCTGTTTGACCATTCCTTATAGAACAGTGTCTCAGCCAGTGTCGATGAGCCAGTGTTTCAAGGCCTCTCGGGCAGACAGGGATGCTGTGCCTACCTCACGGCCCTGAAATGCTTCCCAGCCGTCAAGACTTAATTCAATGCCACCTCTTCCCGAAGCCTCTCAGTTGCCTAGAGCAGAATGACTCCCCAGTGCCAACAGATAGGCTGGATGCACCATGACCTATGG